GCACTGGAAAATGCAACCGTACTGGGAACCGAGGTCCTGTGCGGGCTGCATTTTCAAAAGAAGTGCCGGGACTTCTTCCCTGCGCGTCATGGGCACGGGAATCCATTCAAATGAACGGGCTCTCGTGCCCGTGCACAACGTGGCCCTCATGGCCGCATATATGTGAACCGGTGGTTCAAAAAATATGTCAAAAACCATGCCCTAGGAGAAGTAGTTCTACTCACCTGTCCACCTGTTCCTCTAATCTTCACTCTCTTGCAGAAAAATGGCCTCTTCACGTCTAACACATTTCCGGTGTGAGATGCCTGCCCGCCGCCATGATCTGCCATTTCATCCCCCAGTGCCTCAGTCACTACAAAAAACATAGACGAGAGTAGGAACCACAACACAGGACGGGGGGGGAACACAGACATCCGACACGTCTGGAAATGTTGAGGCTGAGATTCTCCAGGAGGCTGTAGCTCTTGAATAAAGTAAAGATCAGAAGAACAGTTGGTAGGATGGGTGGGAATAACTCAACTCTTCTTCTCTTGCAGGTCACGCTTTTTGACTTTTTTTTTTTTTAAACTAGGCAAAAGAGTTACCTTAAAACATCTCAGAGTTTCTTAAATCCTTTTTGCTGGTCCACTGGTGAGATCTCGATTACCCCGGTATGCAATTCCTACAGCAAAGACACAAGATCCCGCTCCCTGTGCAAACATTCAGACTACCCGTTGTAGTAAAAGTAAAACACTAAGGGGAATGGGTTGGATTACCTCACCTTGAGCCCTGGTTCACACTGATGTGGTGCGGAATTCGCAGCGCTTTCAGTACAAACTCTGCACCGCATCAGAATCGCACCCCGTTCATGCGAACCGCTGCGGGTTTGTATGTTAACAACACTCAGAAAGCGGTCCACAAAACGCGGTGCGATGTGCAGAATCGGATCGCATAAGGTGTGAAAACCAATGCGATCCGATTCTAGTGCGGACCAAAAAAAGGGTCCTGCGTGTTTTTGGTGGTGCGGTGTGATTAGAGCCATCCAAAATGTACGGCTCCAATCGCACCGCACGCAAATCGCATGTGATTTGCGCAGGAATGCACCGCATGTATGTGAACCCAGGCTGAGAGTTCCTCCACACACTGAGGGATTAAATAGGTTGCAAAAGCTATTCTTTTTTTTTTTTTTAAATATATACTGGTTGTCAAACCGATCCAATCATTTCAATGCTTTCTAAGTCGCTTACTGGAAGAAGCTTGTGAAGAGTTAACGTCACTCTTTGTTGCATGTTTTCTCCTTGCCAAAAGCTTAGCAAGTATTGAAACTAGCTGTGGCCAGAAAACCAAAAATTTTTCGGCAATGGCAGAACCTCTCAGTAGATTTTTTTTTTAAATCTCATGTTCGAGCAGACACACAGGCAGGGGTGTATTTACCACAAGGCAAACAAGGCGTTTGCCTAGGGCAGCATCTTACAGGGGGCAGCAGCATCTTTCAGGGGGGCAGCGCCGCTCCCCTAAAAGAAGAGATGGAAGAAGAGACGCACACAGAATGGGGACCAGGTGGGATCTGTGAGAGGCTGCTTGGTGTATGTAGAGCCTGACTCTTGTTCCCGGGGATGTCCGGAGTTGTGAAGATGAGTGTCTTATCTCTTGCCAGGGTGGGGTGGGGGGGCTGGGGTGTTGTTGGTCAATCTCAGGCACTCTTCGTGGGTGAGTGGGGTGTTGGCCGGTGTCAGGGCCTCTCTGTGGGGGGGGGATTTTTGTGTTGCAGGGCAGCACGAAATCTAAATACACCACTGTCACCATGGGGGGGGGGGGGTTAGTAGAAGGCTCTCCCGAGTGGGAGGCAGGGCTGTCATTGGTCAACGCCAGGCTTTCTCCGCGAAAGGGGGAAGGGGGGGTTGTGTTGGTCGGTGTCTGTGGGGGCTGACAATTTTTGTGTTGCCTAGGGGGGCAGTACGAAACCTAAATACACCACTGTGACCATGGGGGGGAGGGTTAGTAAGTAGAAGGCTCTCCCGAGTGGGGGGGCAGGGGTGTCACTGGTCAACGCCAGGCTTTCTCCGCGAAAGGGGGAAGGGGGGTTGTGTTGGTTGTGTCTGTGGGGGCTGCCAATTTTTGTGTTGCCTAGGGCAGCATAAAACCTAAATACACCACTGTCACCATGGGGGGGGGGGGTTAGTAGAAGGCTCTCCCGAGTGGGGGGCAGGGGTGTCATTGGTCAACGCCAGGCTTTCTCTGCAAAAGGGGGAAGGGGGGGTTGTGTTGGTCGATGTCTGTGGGGGCTGACAATGTTTGTGTTGCCTAGGGCAGTACGAAACCTAAATACACCACTGTGACCATGGGGGGGGGGGGGTTAGTAAGTAGAAGGCTCTCCCGAGTGGGGGGGCAGGGGTGTCACTGGTCAACGCCAGGCTTTCTCTCCGCGAAAGGGGGAAGGGGGGTTGTGTTGGTTGTGTCTGTGGGGGGCTGCCAATTTTTGTGTTGCCTAGGGCAGCATAAAACCTAAATACACCACTGTCACCATGTGGGGGGGGTTAGTAGAAGGCTCTCCCGAGTGGGGGGCAGGGGGGTGTCATTGGTCAACGCCAGGCTTTCTCTGCAAAAGGGGGAAGGGGGGGTTGTGTTGGTCGATGTCTGTGGGGGCTGACAATGTTTGTGTTGCCTAGGGCAGTACGAAACCTAAATACACCACTGTGACCATGGGGGGGGGGGGGGGTTAGTAAGTAGAAGGCTCTCCCGAGTGGGGGGGGCAGGGGTGTCATTGGTCAACGCCAGGCTTTCTCTGCGAAAGGGGGAAGGGGGGGGGGGTTGTGTTGGTCGATGTCTGTGGGGGCTGACAATTTTTGTGTTGCCTAGGGCAGCATAAAACCTAAATACACCACTGTCACCATGGGGGGGGGGGGGGTTAGTAGAAGGCTATCCCGAGTGGGGGGGCAGGGGTGTCATTGGTCAACGCCAGGCTTTCTCTGCAAAAGGGGGAAGGGGGGTTGTGTTGGTCGATGTCTGTGGGGGCTGACAATTTTTGTGTTGCCTAGGGCAGTACGAAACCTAAATACACCACTGTGACCATGGGGGGGGGGGAGGGTTAGTAAGTAGAAGGCTCTCCCGAGTGGGGGGGCAGGGGTGTCATTGGTCAACGCCAGGCTTTCTCTGCAAAAGGGGGAAGGGGGGGTTGTGTTGGTCGATGTCTGTGGGGGCTGCCAATTTTTGTGTTGCCAAGGGCGGCATAAAACCTAAATACACCACTGCACACAAGACATTGCTGAAGAACTATTATAATGGCAGAACCTCTCTGTAGAGTTTTTCTTGAAATCTCACGTTCGAGCAGACACACAGGACATTGCTGAAAAACTATAATAATAATAATATAATAAACATCAAGAAACCAAATAATGGAAAGACTATGAATCACCCCGTAATTGTTTTGGTGAAACACCTCTGGTACTTGTTATAATGCAAAATGCTGAAAAGTAGTCACATACACAAACAAAATATTAGCTTTTATTAAGATATAAAATTAGACTACACTTTGTCATATTCTATTTCCTATTATTGTGGGCACGTCCGTGAACACATTTAAAGAGAAACTCTATAAAGAGACCAGGATCTCACAGTTGCAATGTGGTGGGAAAGGTCTCAGACAGCAGTAAAGACCCAGTCAGGGATGGAAAGGTGTTGTAGCACACCCAATCATAAGGTGTATGGGATTTTTGGTGTAGGTACAAGGTCTCACATAAAGTTGTTGACTATTCCTTACAATAAAAATGTACTATTGAGTTATGAGTTTTGGACGGAATGACCCAGTGTCTTCTTAAAGCTATTTGGGTACTGCAGCAGCACAAAATAAAAATCCGCTCAACTAATGCAAGTTCTCTGACCTCAACACAAGGCAGATTCTGCAACAGTGTGATCCATTAATTTAAAAAAAAAAAAAAAATAATAAAAAATCAGTGACATCAATGGGTATTCAGCCTGCGCTTTCACCAAAAACAAAGAACCACGCCGAACCATTATTTGTGTGGTAGTCACACATATAAAGAGGCCAATAGGAATAAAACTATGTAATTGCCAAAAGCTGACAACTTTTTGAATGCTTAAACATAGAATTGCTCTTTTCAACCCTGTCTGCTGCTGCATATATTACTGGGGTAACAGAACTGGTATCCATGTGCATTTATGAAAGTGCCAGGTCTTGTATCATACTAGCAGCTTGGAGATCAAAGCAAATTGTGGAATGCCGATAGGATTTTAGTGCAAGGCTGGACAAATCCAAGTAGGCAAGGTGCATAAAAAAAAATAAAAAAAAAAAAAATCAGCTGGCACATATATTGAGCTTTCCTATTGGTTCATAAAAAGTGCCCATTAGCTTCTGGACTGGACTGACTGGCTCTTGAATTCTAAATAAATCTGTTCACCACTTTTCTTATGAACATTATAAAGGAATAAACCTGCATGATCCCATAAGGGAAGCTTTGGTGAAAGCTGAAAGTCAGTTGTGCTCCAGCTTTCATGGAAGCTTCTCCACGGGTACAGGCAAAGAAGGTTCTCACCTGGTGCAACCTAACGCTATCTACTTTGATAAACTTCTCAGGGCTGTCATATTCCAATACATTCTAATTCCTGGGGTACAAGCTCTTAGAACGTTGCTAAACCCACTGCACATCGCAGATATTGGATGATAATAACACTGAAGGTTTGGCGGCTCCATCTTGGCCCATTCCACTGGAAAACGCCACCCAGGCTCATCCAGAAAAGCGCCATCAGACTTTCCTAGGAGTGACCACAGGAACATCTCATACTACTAAGGCGTGAGGCTCTGTCTATTAATATTCAACATCCTGTTTGGTGATAGAACCATCTTCGTCTGTATTCTGTGCAATTTGCTGCAGATCTGTAGAACACAGAACTTCCCTCATCCTTCTTTGGTTCATCAGCTTCCTCCAGCTAAACTCCCCTCATCCATCACTGTCACATGACATGTCCGATCTGTTAAGGTACCAAAATGAGGCTTCCCATCTCTACTTCTGCATCTGGTCCTCAGTCAGAGATGTTACCTCTATGGTGGTATGCTCCTCCTCTCCATCCGCTGAGTCACAGGGCATGGCTACAAGGGTACCCCCGGCTGACGCTAGCTGTGCAAAGTTCTGTATGGTCCCCAGCCCTGGCAAAGTGAGCAGCTGGATGGGGCTCATCACTTTGAGAACAGTGTTGCTATCTTGCATAGCCGCCGTACTTAGAACAGTGAGGTTGGATGAGTCGGGGTGAATTTCCAGAGTGCCTGGGAAGTTGCTTCCTGAAGGGGTAAGGATAGTGTAGCCCCCCAAAACTGGGGAGGAAGGCGAGCTGGCTTGGGAAGTTGAGTTCCTGTTTAGGACTGAAGAGGTGGAGGAGGGGATACTAGCAGAGAGTACTTTACCAAATGGGATGCTGGTCAATTGAGAGATGGACATTCCTTGGGGAAGGGTGATCTGCGTTGGCTGAGAAGACACCTGTGAGCTTATAGCAGCAGGGCCAGAAGTTGCACGGGTTTAAACGTGGCCGCTTGGCCGGAGGGGGCATGCTGACAGGGGTCAATGTCATCAGTACGTTGTTCAGATGTTGAGATTTGTGCTTCAGCTCCTTGGCTCGTCTCCTGTGTTCATCACACTGCTGCTCCAGTGCTGTGGAGAAAAGGATTTCAACAAGATTCATTCTCCGACCTTAATTTACAGTAACATTTGGAAGGTTTAAAAAAAAAATTCACACTTTTAAAAACTTTCATGTCACATTTTAGTAATAATATTTTACATATATAATTAAAGCTACTAGAGTGAGCGACACAATAGGCATCCTCTTTTTTCCAACAAAAACTAAGAGAAGGTGTACAGAAACGTCGCTAAATAATAGTCCTCCTGCCTACTTCATTTTTGAAGGATTACAAAGAACATAGACCTCTACTCCTCATCTCCAATACTGCCCTTGTTTTTTTTTTTTTTTATAATTTGTTTATTTTTGTCAATTTACAAAATGCAAAGTGAGCAAACAGAATAAAAATCGAAATCAATATTTGGAGTGACTACCCTTTGCCTTCAAACCAGCATCAGTTCTTCTAGGTAGACTCTTTTTTTTTCGATTTTAAATATTTTACTATATCTTCTCAATTTACCATTTTAAATATACAAAAGCTAATAAAACAGACAAAATTACACAAATTTGTCTGACATTCTCAAAATATAACATTAATCATGGTATCCTTTTACACCTCCCTCCTCCCCCTCCACCCCGCCTTGATTATGCACTTTTCCCTTCATTCTAAAGATCTTATTTCTAGAATAATAATGATATTATATTGTATTTGTCCCCTATGACTTTCCTCTATTTCACATATTCTAGGTATAAATCTGACTTTTTACATTCTACCCACTTTTCCCACCTTGTACGGAAAACCTCCATTTTATCTTCCTCCATATGGTAAAGTTCCTCCGTTCTATGCCAATACTGCCCTTGTGATCAGACAAAGAGCACAGGAACATCTCACCTATCAAGATTTCTGCCAAAATTCAGCAGGTATTTTTTGCCCTTCTCAAACAGATAGCTTTGATTACAGCACAGCCCTGTAAACTGTTCCCTGTCTGCTACAATGCCTGGGACAGGCATGACGAGTGTTTGCAGGGACAGCAGAGGACAAACAGTGAAGATCCATACACCGATTGTCCCTACACTGAAACATGCTAGAAAGGACAAACTTCTTGTCACTTATGGTTTCAGATCTGTCATTCCCTGGCTGCTGTGACCAGCGATGAAGCTCACCACCTTAAACTACAAAATTAAGCAGAGACCTCATATGTCTGTGGCTAAATGATTTTGAAGATTTGGAAACCTTGTGTAATCGCAATCATTCCCACCAAAATAAACCAGGATTCATTATGGGTGTGCCCCCGAGGACGTGTTGGTACACGAAACGCGTTGGGTGGAGCCCTATTGCTGACGCCACGCCGCCGCCATTGAGGAGCGGCGGCCATCTTGGTAATCACTTTGCTATTATTTTTATTACTCTACATGAATATTTTAAATTGTTACTCGTGACTATTATAATAAAGTACTACACTATTAAGCACCTTTCTGGCTCCTGTGGCTGAGCTAATTCCTCCCCAGGACCATTTTGGCACCCACCCTGATGGATGGAACTGGATGACTAACCCATAGCTGCCAGCATACCGCTGCACCCCCAGATGTGTGACATTTGTAACCCATGCGCATTAATACTTTTGTTTTTGTGAGTGTACACCCGCCACAAGGATTACCTTTCACAAGTTCATACACTACTGTTCATCACGGAAAAACCACACATGCCATTCATGGGCACTCTCTGAGTTGGTACTCTCACACGAAGGACATTCCATTATTCAAGAATGATTATATGAACTTTTTTTTTTAGCACCATTTACCAGTTTACATCATTATTGCACTTATTTGCACTTTGTTGACTTTACATGCGTTTATGATTAATAACATGCATTTATAGCGCTGCACTATTACTTTAACATATGGTTTCACAATATAGTTACATCCAGGACATGCCTTGAATGATTGCGGTTGTAGTTACTACTGTGAATATGTTAGTTTTCAATTGAACTGTCAAATCCATCAAATGGATAGTGTCTCATAGCTGATCACATGTGCACAACGATGGCTACTGCAGATCAAGATGACAGCTCCCCTGGCTGTAGAGGATATGAGGTTTTAGTTCCATTTTTATCAAACATGTATGCTCAGATGAAATAAGGACATGTTTAGTGAACTTCCAGTCAAAGACATGCTGCCAGTCCATGCCTGCATAACTAACTGCTTCTGTAGGGCCATCGTATGGGCCGGTTCACACTAGGAATGTGCTGCGCATCCCTGTGCAATTTACATGCGGTTCAGTGCGGTGAGATTTGGGCCCATTCATTTTGATTGCATGCATGCACGACTTTTGGAAACTCCAGTAACTGGATCGCATGGTACTATTGTACCATACGATCTGGTGCAGGTAAACCCACTTTGTTTGTGACCTATGTTTGGGGTGTCAGTAACTTCAAGTGGTTTTAAAGCCTTAAGGTTTTTTTTCACCTTAATGCATTCTAGGCATCAAGGTAAAAAAAAAAAAAACCTTCTGTGCTGCAGGATCCCCCCCAGCCCTCTGCTTATTTTTACTTGAACCCAATCCAATCCAGCAATGTGCACGAGAGCAGCAGGCTCTCGCCACTGTCTCCCCCTCCTCATTGGGAAGATTGATAGCAGGGGAACCATTGGCTCCCGCTGCTGTCAATCAAATGATGTGGCAGGTAGGGGGGCCGAGCCACCCAGTCTGTGTCAATAGTTGCAGACAGGAAGGCTCAGGAGGGAGCCCACACCAGTGCCCCCCATAGAAAGCGGGGTGTCCAAGGGAGCACTTGCTGAAGAGAAGGAGCCTGGAGCACCGGTGATTGAGCCCATAAGAGGAGGATTGGGGCTGCTCTGTGCAAAAACACTGCACAGAGCAGTTAAGTATGACATGTTTGTTACTTTAATTGACAAAAATAAGCTTTGTTACTTTAACACTGACACCCGCTGCACACCCGTTTCGAACAGGGTGCGGAGAAACGCACACGAACGCCGGTTTCTTGCATTGCGTTCTGGTGTGAACAGGGCCTAAGGTAGGAGTTACATCTTTGCATTTTGGTACATATTTCACTGAAATCAAAACACACATCAAGCTTCGCCACAGTCTGGACTGTTTTGAGGGTGCTGAAAGTAACCGTACCTGCTAAATCTCTGGTGTACTGCTCTCTAGAGCGGTCCATCTGGCTTTTGTGACTAGCTAGCACTTTCTTAATCAAATCCAGCAAGCCGAAATTCTGGACAATGTTGTTGAGAAGCACAGCGTCTGAAAAACAGAAGGAGGATACCGGCTGAGAGAAAAGATACAAAAGTGACAGCAGCACAAGAGATAAAACCAAATCCTTAAAAAGGTCCAGTGCTTGTTGCCGAATCACTTATAACCCAACAGTGGCTCCAGATAAAACCTTTAAAGAGAAGTCAACCATATATTATTTGTTTGTTGAATCAAATTTATCCATCTGCTATCTGCAGTTTTGTGAGCTTACAACTAATAAGGAGTTGGACTGGAAGCCACAACACTGAATCACAGAAGAAAAAAAGAGATTCGTGACAGGGCAAGTCAACGCTAGGATAAAGTATTAGTGAGTAATGTGTCCTAGTGAAGATAATTGGTAATGTACCATTATTATCCAAGGGGGCGGAAAGGGGCAATTCCAGGTTCACACATTTAAGCAATACAAAAATATAAAATAAAGCTTTTGAAGTTGCTATGTAATATCTCAGAGATTTTAAAGGATAAGTTTATCTTTTGAAAAAAAAAATGCATTTTTTTGCAGGTAAAAAATGTGCATATTTTTTTCCCCCAGGGGCCTGCAGAGCATTGCACACTTGATCAGCAGATTGTGGGGTGTAACCTCAGGCTCCTGCAGACTTGTATGGTAAGGCAGTTATTTAAGTCCAGGAAGATCAAGAGCACTTACCAGCACCCACATAGTTCATTGAGAACTACAAGCCAACAGTTGCAATGGCTGAAGGTACTTGTAGGCAATCATTCACAGGAAACTGTGTATGAATGATGTGGCCGTGTGGATGGCATATCTGATCCTTTCCCTGCACACTGTCACAATTTAAAAATAGGCGGCAGATGTTGGAATAGGTTACATGTTCCACCCTAAAAATGGGTGGAGCATGTAACATGTTCTAAAAGTGAACTTACTCTTACTAAAAAAAAAAAAAAAGCTCTAATTCCAACTCTCACCCTCTCTTTTATTGACCCCTGCATTAATCTCCACTAGACGTCCTCAATCTGAGGACAAACAGAACAAAGCATCATGGACCCCATCATTAAAGGGATGGTTCACCTTTACCAAAAGAATTGCCTATGCATTGCCCCCCCCATGTAATTTCAATAAAGATATTATTATTATTATACAGGATTTATATGGCGCAGACAGTTTGCTCAGCGCTTTACAATAAAAAGGGAGACAATACAGCAACAATACAGTTCAATACAAGAGGGATAGGAGGGCCCTGATCCTTGAAGCTTACAATCTAGGATGCAAACATGTTTGTAGTCCATATCAGGAGAGCAGCCTAGGGCAACCACATCACCCTCCATAGACAGAGTGGAGGAGTGATGTAGCCAACCCATGGACAGAAAATGTGGCATTTTCAGGATCACCAAGTGAAAATAGCTTGGAAATAAAATGCATCTACCACACCAAGAACCAGCAGTCTGCAATCTATTACATTTTTGCACAAAGATACATAGCTCCGCTCAAGACTGGCCTCTCCTGCTCACGGACAACCTGGGTACCGGCCAACACAGTCCATCAGTCCGTCTCCACTCTTCATTGAAAATAGGAAAAAATATCCGTCACACTGCAATTAGCTCTTCTTTCAGTATTTTTAATAATCAGTGAATTAACTGCCTACAGTGATGTCTCCAAATCAAAACCAACCTTTGTTGATGCTTTTAGCTACTCCTGGCTTGCTCACAAGGATAGGGGAACTTCCCCAGGAGTGGTGCAGGAGCATGCCAGGAGTGGTGAAACGTGTCAAGGAAATTTGGTTTTGAGCTGGAGACATCACTGTAGGAAGTCAATCCACTGATTATTAAAAATACCGCAGGAGGAGCTAATTGGAGTGCAGCGGATATTTCTTCATATTACGTTTTTGGTATGGGTTTAGTTACACTAAGGATTTCCCACTGCGGTGTCACATGACTGACCTAAATACTTTTAGAAAAAGTATTAAAAACATACAGTGGGAGGGAGATCAGTTTTGGGGCGCTGATCCCAGAGTTGGGTTTTACGCATAGATCAATCTAATTGACAGCTGAATTACCCTCTAGCTGGATGGGGGGAATCTGCAACCGCTGTCTCAGGCCTTTCATCGTTTCAAGCAGCTCCCGATGAAACTCTTGAATAACATCACCCAGCAGCCCAGCATCACGCAGCCCCTGCCAAAAGATCAGGGTGTCATCTGCATGGGAAACAAAACCGGGGTCAAGCATAAAAGACAGAATTACAATTTATTATGGTTCAGATGTTTCAAATCACAAGCCCATCCTATAATCCTTTCAGAGTGTATTTCCAAAAGGGTTAGACACATTGTTCAAAAATTTTCCCACATGCTGGAAAATGTTGACGATGGATAACAAGCACTTCTTATGGCAGACGTAGTCCTTGCCGCCTCCTAAGTTCACCCTTAAATGGCCCATGCGATCAATGAGCTAACAGACAGAGCTCTTTGTGTCCAGTTTTAAAAAAACTAAAGTTGCTCACTTCATGTATAAAAACTAAGGAGACATTTTTAACATGTTTACAATCTGATTGCACAAACTGTAAATAAATCTACATTGATGTGTGTTCACAGAGATCGAACATATTCACAAAATTTGTAAGACCTTATATGAAACAGTGGTTTGCTAAGCTGGCAAAACTATCACCAGGCCTGAGCCGATTGTGAAGTTGGAAACACACCTTACAAACTCTGTCAACTTTTCTTTTTTCTGTGAAATAAAAAATCCCTTATGCCATTTTCAGTACTCACCTCCAACCAGATTGCTCCAGTCTCCGGATCCTTCACACGTCTCTATAGTAATAGTTGCTGGACTCCCATTAACAGTAAAATCTGTGCGGGAGAAGACACGGTTAAAAGTAGATAAACTAATATGTATGGCAGTAATGAAAAGCTTTACCTGTCATGAAACTTCTGAAAATGTTAAGATACCTGGTCATGTTGATCCCTTGTAAAATTCTACATACCATTTTTAGGTACCTCTATGCCCTGTTCCTATACATTACACAGAATACTGTACAGCAGGGAGGAGGTTAAAAGCCTGAGTTTTGTCATAATATAATAAAAAAAAAAAAAGGGACAAGGGACAAAACTTGCTATTACTCTGATGTGTCCCTTGTGCTGCTGTCTCCTGCATTCATTTAAATCTTCCTCCATTGATCCCCCAATCTATGAATGGAGATTGCGGATCTTTCATTCACCCGTCCTCCATTCATAGATTATTTTTCATTCATAGAAGATGTATATGAATGGAAAAGCTGGACAGAAATGGCTGGCATTGCCGAGCACTATTGATAAGTGCCTGTCACAAGCCTGTTGGCTCTATTAACCCCTGCCGCACCAGGAGATTACAATGGCAGGGGTAAGGAGGGGAGTCGGAGGAGGAAGATTTCAATGAATGCCAGCAGCATGGTAAACACATTAGATTACTAGTAAGTAATGTTCCTTGTGCCAATTTTGTTTGTGACTAAACTAAGGTTTTAAAGTGATCCACAGCATTCCTCTTGCTATTCCAACAGTACCTTGCATAGAGGCTGTTGTAATGTCTTTATTGCTGGCTCTCTGATGTCACTAGCAATCCCCAAAAATCAATTTTACCAATTAAAAAAAAAAAAATGTATTTTACTTTTGCTGTCGCTTCCATTATTCTTCCTTTCCCCAATGGCTGGAATTTACTTTTCTTTTGGTTGAAATAGAGCTCAGGAAATGAGGAATAATGTCTCAGTATTCAGACAAATCTATAGGGACTGACTTCACCTTCAAAAGAATGATTTCCAATCACTTTGTACCACTGTTATGAAGGGATTGCTAGAGTAGTGTTTCTCAACCTTTTTTCAGTCAAGGCACACTTTAAAATTATGGACAGTACCGAGGCACCCTTTAAAATGATGGACAGTCCCGAGGTACCCTTTAAAATGATGGACAGTCCCGAGGCACCCTTTAAAATGATGGACAGTCCCGAGGCAGCCTTTAAAATGATGGACAGTCCCGAGGCCTTTAAAATGATGGACAGTCCCGAGGCACCCTTTAAAATTTAAAATGGGCAGTCCCGAGGCACCCTTTAAAATTATAGACAGTCCTGAGGCACCCTTTAAAATTATAGACAGTCCTGAGGCACCCTTTAAAATTATGGAACAGTTCCGAGGCACCCTATAAAATTATAGACAGTCCCGAGGCACCCTTTAAAATTATGGAGAGTCTTGAGGCACCCCATTTTAAAATGTGAAAAACTATTCTAATAGTTTTATATAACGCAGCAACATCCACACATGTAGGACACCCAACAATAGAGGTGATTTATTCTTCCAATGCAAATACACTTTTGCAAACCGGTACTGACTAGTATTCCAATGTTTCTCTTTTCCTTCAGTTTTTCTCCATCACTGAGCTAATGTGACCCCAGCACTGATGGAGAGGGAGAGGGGAGGGTGAAACTAGGATGCTGTGTAGGCAGCTGACATCCTCCTTATCAGCTGATGATGTCATTGGGAGTCAGGACGCTGGCGGCTAGAAGGTCGTAATGGTGCACAATGAAAACCTATGGCTTTGTGTAACTAAAAGGCAGACGTGTCCCACCCGCTGGCTTGTATATAAGTTTTGGGCAATTTTTTTATATTTTGCCAATGCACCCCTGAAGAAACCTTAAGGCACCCTGGTTGAGAAAGGCATAGATTGCCCAATTGGCAGTTACCACTTTTAAAGGCCCAATTCCACAGTGGGTTGATATGTAAGCATTTTCCTGCTCAGTGGGTTCTATAGCAGCCCTGATGTGGGATTTTACTAGGTTGCATCTCCCAATAATATTTCCCGCGTTGTCATATGCCTTGGCTATATGGGCTAGACATAAGGTGAAGAAAAATCTCCACTCATACCACACGCCCTTGTGTCCTATATTTTGTAACCCAGAATTTATCCCTGGACTATACTGACAACTCTTCCACTGGTGGGTTAATAAAGGCTTGTTAAGAATAGGATATTTCTGAACAGGAGATAGCTTACAGTCTCTGGAATATTATAAAAACAAATGGCACAAGTAAAAAAAAGCAAAAAAGAAAAGCAAGAAACTCATTACATTTTTCTAATAGAAAAGATGGAAGAATGCAATTGGATAAGTTATGGGATAAGTCTGTTTTAGTCACTAACAAATGTTGGCTACCGCTAACATGGCACCGTGCATTAAACATTGACGTCCTGCAGATGGATAAGTGAGGTTACAGTATTGGAAATACATTTGCCGATAGTGGATGAAAGAAGAGTTAGTCCAGAGTCTTCACTCACTGTCACTGGCTGTAGTGGTGAGGGGAATATACTCCGTGGACACCTGGCTGCAGAGAGACACGCGGCTCCCTGTCACGTCGATCTTGGTGCTCCGGCAGGTATTGGAACAGACCTTGGAGTGTTGGTAGAAATCCAGCTCCCCCGAATCCATTATTTTCCTGATAGAAAAAAAGAAAAAAAAAAAAAAAGGGAATAGGACTTTACAGATGCAGTCGAAACAATAAATGATTGCATTAAACAGGGTACACAACCTTCCTGGTAGCTTACTCCGCTGTATACATCCCAATGGTTGCCAGTATGATGATATGATTACACCTAAGATGTAGCCAGCGTGTTCCCTGGTTCCGGCACACTCTAAACCTCACTGCACTTCAACACATTCTACAGCAGAAGAGGGGGTATAGGTAGGACAAGCAAACAGGCGGTACTGCAACTTCCTTTCCACCCGCTATTCTAATGCGATGTTTATTCAAAACACCTGGCCCTATTCCTGCAGACTCCACAGTACAACAGGGCCATGTTGGCCATTCAGGCACTGTCCTCGGGCTTGGGGTCAGTAGGAGACCCCTTGTGAGTGTCTACACGTGTCATACAGGGGCAGTATATTTAGGTCTGTCTGAATAATGCGTCCGCCTGAAACCCGGATACATTATTCAGGCAGGTATGTGGCTCGGAGCGGGGTCCTGGCGAAATGGTGAGGGGAGCCTGGGATGGGAGCGGATGAGGAGACAGGACGAGCAGTTGACTGCTGGTGACTGTGAGGGGAGTGGGGGAGATGGCGGTGGCCTCCTCCATCCTGATCCCGGAGGTAGCTCACATGTGATGTAGTGGCGGAACGGGTTGGGGTCCCAGGCTGTGATATTCCCTACATGCAGCTGGTGATGGATGAAGGCGTGAGGAGTCCATGAGGTTAGGTGACATGACTGGACACTGACTCCCTTCACCACAGCTGTTGTAGTGGTCAGGGAACCCTGCTGATAGAATCCGGGCAGGGGTGTCCCTAGGGTTGGTGTCACCCGGTACGATAACACTTGGTGACAGCACCTCCAACGATCCCCGCAGGATGGATCGGATCTGTGGATTGAGCATAATGGATTGGAGTCTGATCCATTATGCTCCCCAATCCGCAGATCCGATCCATCCTGCGGGGATCATCGGCATGCAACCTATATGGGGTGACACTGGACCGGCTCCACGAAAAGGTAAGTTGTAAAGCAAGCCGACGATCCCCGCAGGATGGATGGGATCTGCGGATTGGGGAGCATAATGGATCGGACTCTCCTACTTCCCATCTCCCGCATCTCTCTCTCTGCCTCCTATTCCGCTCTTTCCTCCCCCTCCTCTCTCACCCCACTCCTGTTTATATCCCTCTACCCTCTCTTCTTCTCTTAGTTTCTAATAGGAATTTGCAATATTTCAGGATCTCAGTAAAAAATGTATTCTGTCAGTAGATTTTCCATGTTTTGTCAGGAAAAAAAAAAAAAAGTTTTGGGGGTTGGCAAACCTGTGAGGAAAGAGCTGAGTGGTAGCTGAACGGCCGCACAGGGCAATTAACCTCTCAATCATCGAACATCTTTATTGTACTTTATAACCAGCAGCAGGGGCGGACTGACCATTTGAGCACTCGGGCACTGCCCAAGGGCGCAGGGTCAGTAGGGGGCCCCATGAGATGCCCCTAGTACCTTTCATAGGCATTTTTGGGTGTGTGGTGTGGGTGAGGACACAGGGGCCCCCAATGACCCCCTATTGCCTGGGGGCCCCATGAGATGCCCCTGGTACCTTTCATAGGCTTTTTCATAGGCTTTTTTGGGTGTGGTTTAAGTGTGGGTGAGGACACAGGGGCCCCATGATCCCCTATTGCCTGGGGGCCCCTTGAGTTGTCAGTCCGCCCCTGCCAGCAGCCTAAATTATGATATTGCACACAGGCCCACTGCTTTCATAAGAAACGTCCCTTGGTCGCGTGGCAGCCATCTTTAAACCTGAAAGTGCCTAGCAGGTTCTACAGAAAGGATCCAGGAACTTCAAAGCAGGCTATGCTGCAGTAGATATTAAAATGCACAATGGGGTGCCTCAAGACTGTCCATAATTTTAAAGGGTACCTTGACTGAAAGGAGGTTGAGAAACACTGGTCTAGAGAAACCGTTACCTCCTGATGGCTAGGCTCCACCTGCCAGACATTGCACAGGAGGCCGTTGGGACAAAGACTTCTGGCAACTGAAGTGAGGGATTCCATATCGCTGTAGGTACGGTGTGTAGCCCTATTTTACCATTTCATATGGAGGCCGCATATGTTTATTTTTTTCTATTTTTTAAACTTCTCCTTTAAAGCCAAACTCTTGGCACAAGAATTTTCATTTCAGTATAATCCTCTAGTGCCACAAAGAATGTAAAACCTGTGCATCAAATGCATTTACAATCCCAAGTACAGGTATTACCTCTTAGCAGTGACATCATCATGCTGTATATAGAGCAGAGCTATGGGAGGGACCCAGCAGGTCATCGATTTAAAAAAAATTAAACCAAAATTATTATTTAAATTAATAAATATAAATTGTATAAATTAATAAATGTTAAAAATAAATACAAATATTAAACCAACTGGGGGCCGCATGTAGCCCCAAAGAAAAAGAATCTGCATTGCCTGCTTGAAACGTAACCTAAAATAGCACAATAAACCAAAGATAACACGCACGCAATTTTAGCAACTGCAGAATCAACGATATGTACACATTATTTATCCAATTATGTGCTGACCTGAGCATGACTCCATTCATCCTGATGGCTCTCTTCCAGTCCTTTAAGGTAGATTTTCCAGCCAAATGCACAAATTCTTTTGGACTGATCAGATGGTCGTTATACTGAACGTTGAAGAAAAAAAAGGGATATATTAAGATAATGGACTAAAAATGGAAAAAGGCATTTATACTCAGAAAGACTCACTGACGGCTCCTATGCATCCCTCTCAGTTCTCAGCTTGCCTTCATAGTTTCATTATATTTTTTCATCTTGCCAAAAAGTTACTAGTATTAGCAGACTAACCACCCTCCCCATCAGTAGTAGTTCCCACAATAATTTCTGCATTCCGTTTGTTTCTGTATGCATGTTAACATGCATTTTGTAATGCGTTCTGATGAAGTTTTGATGCATTCCGGTGCATTTTGTATTTATCTTCTTTTTTTTTTTTTTTTTTAACATCAACGGAGTGCTTTATTGACCAAACAGACAATACAACATTGATACAAAAACAACATGATGCAATACAAAACACAATCCACAGCAGAATTAAATAGATTTATCTTTATCTTAATTCAGGACATGCGCATTCCGATGTGTTTTCCATGCATTTTGCCAGATGTGTACCATACAGCTCTACTTTTGTTGATTGCACTGCACTGATGTGAACTAGGGCCACTGGAATATAAAAAAAGAACTCTGCATGGCTTTTTGATGCAGATTAAAAAGACAATGGACTGCTGTGATGGGAGTCACTTTGGGTGGGGGGCCCATGGAACACAGCTCACTTTGGAGAGGTAGGGAGACCCCTGTCTCAGCTCCCCATATCCCTCTTATGTGTAAGTCACCCTGTGCCTGTTAGGGGTGCAGGGTGAGCTGTCCTAATATTGTGTGGACATGTCTGGGAGATAGGTGGGGTGGGGGTTGTGGATTGTTTGGTGTTATGTGGTTGCATCCCATTGTTCTATTGTTTGTCTTGCTTGGGAGCAAACTATTATGGGATGTATGTGTTTATGTGTATTAGCTTAGTGGGGGGGGGGGGGGAGGTGTCTCCAGCAGCCCTCGCTCCTGATGAGACTGTCTGCTGGAGTGAAGTTTGAACACCTGTGTGTCTCTTGTTACTAAATGTAGATTTCCCCGCCCTGTGTCATTATGCAGGGAGGGGGGATTGCCCCCTGAGTGTATATATCTTGTATCTGTGTTCAAATAAACTAGTCTACTTTCTGGATTACTTCAAGATTGGTGTCGACTAGTCTTGCTTGGTCGGCTGTGGTGTCTGTGGTCGGTGTTCGGACGGGGAAGCGGTATTCTAACGGAAATACTCAAGCGCAGTCTGGGGTCTGTTCCGTTACAACTGCATCTGGTGTGAACCAGCCCTTCGTGTTCATAAAGCAGCATCAAATCTCACCGCAACTTACCACAGTTAAAGTAAGTGCAGCAACCCACATTCATTTTGCTATACTTCATTGGTACACATGTATTTGATGGCCCCAGAAAATATAATTATGTTTTCTGCCAGTTATAAACATACAATTTTCTGTACCACTTTCCTCCCCTCTTATGTGTAACTATCAACCAATATCATTTATGCACATTAAACTCGATGTAAAAAAAAAAAAAACCAAAAAAAAAATGCATACATCATGATTGGCATTGTGGAATAATCCGGTGATTTGGGTGACAATAATGCTTGGTAAATGAATTCCAGCTCCATTACAAGTGGACTAGTGCTCACCTGCACACACTTGACGTTGATCCCCCGGGCACACAAACTTCCTCCAGATCAGGTTTGCCTTGCTCTCTCCGCAGGTGATGGGGTACGCAATCTCTGCTTCGAGAGTTTCCTCTTCCTCGTCACCCATCTTCACTTCTCACCGATGTCAAAGTTAAAAGAAAAAGAAGATTTCTGTGAATCTCTCATTTACGAGGCACAGATAAAGAAAGCTCCAGCATTGTCAGCGGTGTGTTACGTGACTGGCCGAGTGGACAGGGAAGGGGCAGAGACGTGACACTACAGGAAGGACCTGCAGTGCCCATGTCTGCAGCTATGGTATGTAGGATAACTAAAAGATCTTTTTTTTTTTTTTACCAGTTTAACCCCTTGGCGCCGGCGCTTCCCGGCCATTTAAGAGTTTCACTGTTTGGCATTTATACAGCAAAAAAATAAAAACCCCAGTGGTGAATAAATACCACCAAAATAAAGTTTTATCGGTCTCAAAAAATGCTAAAAAATTCACATGGGTACAGTGTTGCATGACCGTGCAATTGTCATTCAAAGTGTGACAGCAACGCTGAAAGCTGAAAACTGGCCTAGGCAGGAAGGGGGTGAAAGTGTCCGGACTTGAAGTGGTTAAAGTTTTCTATGCATAAACCGATCCAAATGTCCTCATCTAGTGCATTTCATTTCATCTGGAGCATATTTGTAGATTTCACAAACTATGAATAAGCTCCAAAGTGACAATTATTAGAGGTTGTGGGACAGGTAGAATGGCTTCTGCATGGAAAACTTTAATAAACAAACACAACGTTTTAAAAGGAGAGCAGCTTCCTTTCTTTTGTGCTTGGAAATCGTGTACAACAGTCCCGTGTTTCCTTCCCCTCTAGTCTGAGACACAACACCAGCACTTGCATCTATGATACAAGAGGAGGAGAAGTGGACAGGGAAGCCACCCTGTGTAAATTCCCATTCTCTCCATTCGCAGGGGGAAATGGAGCAATGGAAGAGTGAAAAGGAAGTTAATAATTTATAGTGGTGTGGTCACCATTAATGAGAACCTGTTTTTTTTGCATGCACAAGGCACAGGTTGACTTTCAGTCTAGTAGAGGTTACAGTATCTCTGAACAAAACCAGCAAAGCCATTGTCCCTGGGCAGCAGATATAATGAGAAGACTCTAAATACCTAAAACGGCTTCTTTCAGTTCTGTTGAGGCACTAAAGGCGGCTGCAGCTGCTGCTGCCATGTTTTCTGACTCCAAGGCTTCTTCAGCTAGGCTCCTGCATCCAAAAAGGAGAACAGAGGGTTAGGACAACTGGCAACTTTATTTTTTTTTTTTAGCTTTGTGAACATAAATCATAACAGGCACACTGCAGTTTAATCCTGCTGTACCCTAAGGCACGGGTGTCAAACTGGCGGCCCTGCAGCTGTTGCCGAACTACAAGTCCCACAAAGCATTGCAAGACTGACCGTTACAAGCATGGCTCCAAAGGCAGAGGCATGATGGGACTTGTAGTTCGGCAACAGCTGGAGGGCCACCAGTTTGACACCCGTGCCTTAAGGTTTTAGTCTCACAGCTGTTATTAAAGCTGAACTTTAACAAAACCAATAACATTAAGAAAAAAAAAAAAAAAAAACAGGTCTGAAATAAAATAAAAAAAAAAAAAAAAAACAACGAAAAAAAACAAAAACAGACAAAAAAAAAAAAAAATAGAAAACCACACAACACATATTCCCGCAATAACAATCAAAGGCCTGCACTACACTTTTTCTCCGAAAACTAAAGCCAAAACTTGTTTTGGATAGAATTCTAAATTTCACTTTTAAACTGGTCGCCGGGACAAACAGAAAGGGTGAATCTCTCTAATGGGGACACAACAATACCTGACAAGTGTTCTAATCCCTCTCCACTCAATCAATTCTCCATTTAAAAAAAGTAAAAATTGGCCGCAGCCTGGGACTGTAATCCTTATCCCAGATTTACTAACTTGTTCTCTGGAACATGCAGGATGCTAGTCCAGCCTTGTTTCTATTTAGTGAAGCATTAAAGCGGAGCTCCACCCAAAAGGGGAAGTTCCGCTTTAAGGACTGCTCCCCTGCTCCCTATTAAGGATTGAACTTTTGGAGGGCGGGTACCCGAACTTGACAAGTACCTGCTCCCATTTCCAGTTCGGGCTAGGAGATCGGAAACGGAAGGTGTCCTCCCTCCCTCCCTGTAGTCTTTTGGGACACGTGACAGGTCCCAGAAGACTACAGGACCATTCATGAAGCGCAGCACTACTCACGCATGCGCAGTGGGTACCCGGCTGTGAATCCAAAGAACAAAAGGTATACCGCTCAGGCAAACAATCCAGATCAATCCACGAGAGGTGCAGGCTCTGGCTTGCCTTTGTTATGATTAACCACGAGATCGTGTGAAACGCGTTAACTAGTCCTGTATTCATGTCCTGGTGTTTGGTGTGTCCTATGGATCAATAAATACACACTATATTCATCTATCCTCCGGTGTGCGGCTGACCCTTCTTCCTGTTACCCGGCTGTGAAGCCGCAAGCTATCACAGCTGGGTGTCCACACTGAAGGTGCCGGTCTCCTGGAATACAGGACGGCCGGTGAAACGGGCTGCGGGGGACACACCACGGGACCGAGGGACAGGTAAGTGGCTGTTTTTTAAAATTCAGCAGCTACAGTTTTTGTAGCTGCTGACTTATTTGTTGGGTGAGTGGAACTCCGCTTTAAGTTGTACAGCCAGGATTACCTACAACTTTAGGCTAGGTTTCCAGGCGGACTGACAACTCATGGGGCCCCTGGGCAATAGGGGATCATGGGGCCCCTGTGTCCTTGCCCAAACTCAAAAAAGCCTATGAAAAAGGTACCAGTGGCATCTCATGGGGCCCCCTACTGACCCCGGGCCCTCGGGCAGTGCCCGAGTTTCCAAATGGTCAGTCCGCCCCTGCTAGGTTTCACATCTATGCAGGTTTGCGGTTGATGCATTTTACCAGTGTGTTTTGCATTTTGGAACAAGCGTTTTTGATGCATTTTGCATCTTTTTTTTTTTTTTTTTGCTAATAGGAAAGTAATAATAATTCTGTTCCTGTAGTGTGACTTTGATGTGACTTTACGCTCTCTGGGACTCAAGTAGCATCAAAGTTGCATTAAAGTAGTGCAGGGACCTTCATGTGTCCAAAGTCGCATGTTATGGTTTGGGTTAGCAGTTATTGTTGGGATTAGAGTTTTAACCCTAACAATTACCACTAACCCAAACCATAACATGCGACTTTGGACACATAAAAGGTTCCTGCACTTCTCTGATGCTACTTGAGTGCCAGAGAATGTAAAGTCGTACCAAAATGCATCAAAAATACAATACTTTTGGTGCAGGTCCACTGAAGTCTATAACAGGCAAAACGCAATCTGCCGCGGAAAAAAAAAAAAAGTCCCTAACCCCTTCCAAAAACCACACCGAAGTGAACTAGATCCATAGGAAATCATGTTAAATGGACTGTAGGGTGTTTTCTCCAAAACGCACTAAAAAAAATGCATAGGTGTGAACCAGATCTTAATAAAATATAGTTTGTTACCACCGTGCATGCCTTTAAAAAAATGTATTTTTACATAAAACTATAGTAATTAGCCTCTACTCCGCAGGACTACGCTGGAGAAAGGCAGAGGCTGCACTAGGAACCAATCGGGCCCTGTTGCAGTGAACATGTGCTGACAACAGGAGAAAGCAGAATTAATGGTGATTTGCTGCTCTCTTTCACTGTCCAATCAGGCAGATGCAGGTGTTTCGGTGACACCACTGTATTCCTTTAAGTGTCACTAAAGACAAACTGCCTTCCCCATCATTTTGGATAGAATTAGAGAGGGTTTATAACTAACTTTTTTTGCCATCTGTGTCCCATTGGGGAGACTTCCCTTCACTTCCTGTTCCATAGCCAAAACAGGAAGTGAGATGAAATCCCTGCAAAGCGAGGGAATCCCGGCTGTGTCACCAGATTTAATGTCCCCATCAAAAGATTTGTTTTTTTTATTCCTGTTCTCATGTCAAATCAAAATTTGGGATCTTCTCTTACTTTCAGCCCGGGTTCACACTGATGCGGTGTGGAATTTGCAGCGTTTTCAGGGCGAATTCTCCACCGCATCACAATCGCACCCCGTTCATGCGGGTGTGTATGTTAACAACACCCCGAAAGTGGTTCACAAAACGTGGACGCTGACAGATCAGCCTCGTCTCAGAAGGGGCCTGAGCTGTGGTTCACACTGATGCGGAATTCACAGCATTTTCAGTGCAAATTCTGCATCGCAACACAATCGCACGTCGTTCATGCGAACTGCTACGGGTAAGTATGTTAAGTTAACAACACCCCGAAAGCGGTCCGCAAAACGCGGTGCGATGTGCAGAATCGGATTGCATAGGTGTGATCCAGTTCTAGTGCGCACCCAAAAAGGGGTCCTGCGCGTTTATGGTGTGGTGCGAATAGAGCTATACAGAACGTATAGCTCCAATCGCATGTGATTTGCACAGGAATGCGATGCGGTTCCTGTGTGCAACACATGCGATATACCGCGCCGCACAGATGTGAACCCGGGCTCAGTGATAATGGCAAACAGGACAAATAGAGAGGGTGATGCTCCCAAACGGGGGCACAGACAGCAATAAAAATCTGACAATGTTTATTATTCTTCTCCAGTCTATCCAAAACAAAAACAAACAACAAAAAAAAAAAAAACAAAAAACAAAACAACAAAAAAAAGCAAAACAGAAAAAAAAAAAAGTTTTGCCTTTAGTGACACCAACTCGAGCAGAGAAAATGGTGTCACTAAAGGCCAAACTAGTTTTTTTTGTTTGTTTTTGTTTTGGCTGTGCAGCAAAAGTGTATTAAACACACAAACGTGCCAGACCGCATGAAAGCGATCTTTTTGGCAGATTACAAATAAATATTTAAACATACAGAATGAAAAATCTTTTGGCAGACAAGACAATTCACAAATAAATATTTCTACTGTTTTATTGGAACTTTTATGGGGAGTAAAGTCAAGGTCATGTTAAGGCAGATATAGATTGAATTCAGAACAGATGCAGCCGGGGCTCCTTAATGTACCATGCGGTCAGGCGTGGCGCAGGATCCTGCCGGTTTAAAGTCTCAATTGCCGTTTTAAAAAAAAAAAAAAAAAAACTGGCAAAATAAGGAACGCTTCCCTTCTTCCGCAAGTTTAACATTTTGCCTGGCCAATCAGGTGTTAACATCCAGGAATACCTGGTATTTTTAGTGTCGCTTTAAATCCCTAACTTGCTCTACATTCCTTATAATGTGATTGGTCCGGAGAGAAAGGAATATGTCAGCAGCCCCCGGCTGGAGGTGTTTGATGTCGGCCCCAAGTGTACATGTCGGAAGCAGGCCCTTGCTTGTTGCCATGGCAAAACTGTAGGAGGCAGATGGGTGCAGCCTGTTAAAGCCTTGTATCTAGTGTCTGGACTGAAGATGGCATTTCAGGACAGCGGTGAGCCCAAAACTCGCATATCCTAGCAAAGAGTATGCGGCTGGGAGATATCACCCCATGTAATGAAGATCGCTGAGATCAAACCCTTTGGGAAAGCACTGCTGCAGGCCTGCTAAATTATTTATGTCCTGAAAGAATACAGCTAAGAAATGCTGCACCCTAGGGATGAAAATGCATGAAGTACCACCGGTATCTAAATGGCATCTTTTAGGGGGAGTGTGTCCATTAAAGGGACACTGACAGTTTGCCCATAGCCCCTTTAAACCCAGGGCCCCCCTTCCCACCCAGCTATGCTCCCTCCCACTGCAAACATCCCAGCTCCAGAGCAATTCTGTAATAGACCTATGGCCTGCCTAAACCCAGGGCCCCCCTTAAACTGCTATGCTCCCACCCCCTGTAGCATATCATCTCTGGTTCAATGATTTGGAGGTCCTATAGTTCCCCTAAACCCATGGCCCCTCTTACCTGGTCATAGTCCCTTCCACTGTAGCATCCCAGCTCCAGGGCAATGCTGTAATAGTCCTATGGCCTGCCTAAACCCAGGCCCCCCCCTTACCCAGCTATGCTCCCACCCCCTGTAGCATCTCATCTCTGGTTCAATGCTTTGGAGGTCCTTTAGTTCCCCTAAACCCATGGCCCTTCTTACCTGGTCATAGTCCCTTCCACTGTAGCATCCCAGCTCCGGAGCAATTCTGTAATAGACCTATGGCCTGCCTAAACCCAGGGCCCCCCTTAAACTGCTATGCTCCCACCCCCTGTAGCATCTCATCTCTGGTTCAATGCTTTGGAGGTCCTATAGTTCCCGAAAACCCATGGCCCCTCTTACCTGGTCATGGTCCCTTCCACTGCAACAACCCAGCTCCAGAGCAATTCTGTAATAGACCTATGGCCTGCCTAAACCCAGGCCCCCCTTAAACTGCTATTCTCCCACCCCCTGTAGCATATCATCTCTGGTTCAATGATTTGGAGGTCCTATAGTTCCCCTAAACCCATGGCCCCTCTTACCTGGTCATAGTCCCTTCCACTGTAGCATCCCAGCTCCAGGGCAATGCTGTAATAGTCCTATGGCCTGCCTAAACCCAGGGCCCCCCTTACCCAGCTATGCTCCCTCCCCCTGTAGCATCTCATCTCTGGTTCAATGCTTTGGAGGTCCTTTAGTTCCCCTAAACCCATGGCCCTTCTTACCTGGTCATAGTCCCTTCCACTGTAGCATCCCAGCTCCGGAGCAATTCTGTAATAGACCTATGGCCTGCCTAAACCCAGGGCCCCCCTTAAACTGCTATGCTCCCACCCCCTGTAGCATCTCATCTCTGGTTCAATGCTTTGGAGGTCCTATAGTTCCCGAAAACCCATGGCCCCTCTTACCTGGTCATGGTCCCTTCCACTGCAACAACCCAGCTCCAGAGCAATGCTGTAATAGTCCTATGGCCCGCCTAAACCCAGGCCCCCCCCTTACCCAGCTATGCACCCTCCCCCTGTAGCATCTCATCTCTGGAGCAATGCCTTGGAGGTCCTAAAGTTCCCCTAAACCCATGGCCCCGCTTACCTGGTCATGGTTTCTTCCACTGTAGCATCCCAGCTGCAGAGCAGTGCTGTAACAGTCCTACGGCCCGCCTAAACCCAGGGTCCCCATTACCTGTCTACGCTCTCTCTCTTCCCCCAGCATCCCAGCTCTGGAGTAATGCTGTATTGGTCCTATAGCCTCCCCCCTTACTTGGCCACGCTCCCTCCCACTGCAGCATCCCAGCTCCGGTGCAATGCTTTAGTGGTCCCGTAGCCCCCCTAAACCTGGGGCCCTGCTTCATCAGCACCACTTCCTCCCCACTGCAGCATCCCAGCAATGGAACAATGTTGTAATGTCCTATAGCCTCCCCTAAACCCAGGGCTCCCCCTTTTCTGGTCATGCTCCCTCCCCCTGCAACATCCCAGGCAAAAGCCAACTGCTAAAATGAGTTCATACTTCCCACCGTTGATCTGCGTTGCACTGCAGAGTTACCACTGCATGAACAATCGTCAGAATCTGACACTTCCGGGAGTGTCAGATTCTCATTCCCCCCAATGCACTTTGTGGTTCCTCTGTCTGGTCCCTATGCCATTACTGTATTGTGTAGCGACATAGAGCTGGCGGTAGGAAACACTGTGTATAATGGGGGAACCAGATATCCGACATGTCTAGAAATGTCACATTCTGCAACACCACATAGATCAACAGGAGATATATGTATGAACTCCCTGCACTTCCAAAAGAATCAGAATTCTGGTCCTCAGTTATGCTGGCCCTATGTTGCTACAGGGAACAAGAATGACATATGGGGCCAGTGACAGGAAACAAATTTATTTTTAATTTGTGTTCCAGGGATAAAAAAAACAGTCTTATGAAAACAGAAACAAAAAAAAAAAAAGTCTGATGTCCACAACAAGTACACAAGTGTAAACCAACTGATCAAGAAAGTAAACATATCCCGCCCGAGGCAGATTGCTGTATTCATATGATACAGAATTTAGTACAGAGTCCTACCTGTTGGTGGTCACAAGCACCGCTTTCACCTCCTCCATGCTACCATCCATTATATTATCCGGTGTGGTCACCACCACCACCTCTTCTACATGTACGCTGACATCTGGGGTAGCCATGGTTTCTCTGGTTAGTCTGGATTAGAAAAAAACACACCAAATTTCTTAGTAAAAAATGACAATGGATTCATATAAGACATAAGCAATCAATATTATGAAAACCCTGTATCTCTATACCCTGAAAAATTGTTTTTGTTGCAGGAAAATTAACAAAAAGAAAAAACAAAAACATATGCTGTACAGTACACCTCTTCAATACATTCACATTCTCCATGGGTTATCCATTTAAAAACACTATAGTTACACCACAGGTACAGAAATATACCTGATGATTTGCCAAAAAACAGAAAGCTCCTGATTTCCTGTTGTGGGCTGACAACGCTCCATCTGTTGCACAGAAATTCCAAGGAGTGGTCAGCACTGCCTGCTGGACTACAGAACTCTGCATATTGCCGCCCCTCTCCAAGTGCATACGGTGCATCTACCTCTAAAAACCTAACAATGACGTAACTGGGAGTAGTAAAAATAACATTCTAAATTAGATTGTAAGCTCCCAGGATCAGGGCCCCCCTAACCCTCTTGTATTGAACTGTATTGTTGCTGTATTGTCTCCCTTTATATTGTAAAGCGCTGAGCAAACTGTTGGCGCCATAAATCCTGTATAATAATAATATATAAATCCTGTATAATAATAATATATAAATCCTGTATAATAATAATAATATATAAATCCTGTATAATAATAATATATAAATCCTGTATAATAATAATAATATATAAATCCTGTATAATAATAATAATAAATAAATCCTGTATAATAATAATAATATATAAATCCTGTAATAATAATAATATATAAATCCTGTATAATAATAATAATATATAAATCCTGTATAATAATAATAAATATATAAATCCTGTATAATAATAATATATAAATCCTGTATAATAATAATATATAAATCCTGTATATAATAATAATATATAAATCCTGTATAATAATAATATATAAATCCTGTATAATAATAATAATAATATATAAATCCTGTATAATAATAATATATAAATCCTGTATTATAATAATATATAAATCCTGTATAATAATAATAATAATAATATATAAATCCTGTATAATAATAATAAAGGAGGAACCAAATAGCTGAAAACAGCCAGTGGTCAGTTACATGAAAAAAAAAATGTTTTAATAAGAGAAAGAGAAAGGATTGCAGAGAAGGAACATTCTAAATCCTAAATGTTTTGCAAAGACCACAACATCACTAAAGCAGAACCCTAGCCACAAAAAAATGGATAAACTATATATATATATACACACACACACTTCTTTTTCCTCCTCGCTCTCACAGGCTTTGGTGAGGGCAGCGGGAGCCATCGGTTCCCGCTACTGTCAGTCAAATCCTATGACAAGGGAGCTGGAGATGGGGCTGAGATTACAGTAACAGCAGCTGTTTTCTAGCGTTCAAAGTGTTTGTAGTTCGCTTCTCTCCTCATTTGGAGAAGCGATGTACACCGCTTTATAAAAAGGCATTCAGAGGAGAACGCTCTCCTCTGAGAATGCCGGAGAAGTGAGCAGTGGTCATTCACTGCTGCATGATAAAAGGACACCTAAATATGTTAAGAGATAGTTTTCAAGAAAACCTCCTCCTTGGGGGACAAAATTATTTGTAGTCTATGTAGACCACAAGTGACCTCTAAGGCTTCCTCGAGGGGCATATTCCAACGTCGCCAATGTTCCTTTTGCCCCTGGATACAACAGGGCATGCGTTTTCGCTTGCCAAATGGGGAGTTGTTTATTCCACGCTTTCAAGCTGCAACACCCAGGGAGTTATCTATCTCATGTTGTGCTCTTGTGGGGCTTTTTATGTTGGCAAAACAATTCGCCAATTTAGACAACGGATTAAAGATCACATATATTATTCCAATAAAGGTAAAATATTGACCCCAGTTAGCAGGCATTTGGGATTACATCACAGATTTGACATTTCGCACATAAGATTTCTGGTTTTGGATGTTGTGCCCAAGGACCCACGTGGTGGGAATTGGGATAAAAGAATTCTTCAAAAAGAAACATTGTGGACTGAACGTCTCAATGCCACCTAACCTCCGGGAATTAACGAAATTATATCCTATAGGCCTCTCTAGTGAAGTGCTAACTGCAGGATATTGTTAAGGAATTGGGTATAAATCTTTGGGCCTGTAGATATATTTTCATACATATATAAACTTTTTAGGCTAATAAAGTCTAGATCTTTTGGCACGCTTATCAATATTTTGGAGGAAACGTTTATAGAATGTACATGCCCTTATTATAATATTTGTGAAATATCTGGATTATACAGAATTTTGTATTATGGTATTGTTTAACACATTGGTTTTTGAACAGAGGGAGTATTGGAGCAGACATGGGTGAGTGGTCCAGATGTGCGGTCGGAAAAACCACAGCGCATGGCCGGTGGGTGTATGTGCATGCCTTCGGGTGTACTGGTCTCTCCCCTGCCATGAGCTGTGGCCTATGGAGTGTTGGTTCTCTCCCCACCTCCAACTGTGTGCGTGTCGGTGGGGGGAGTCCAGTCTCCTGTGTGGCCGGCCCCCATTGTGCTGGCTCTTGGCCTTTGGGGAGGCTGCATTCCCTCTGCACATGCACTGGTCCCTCGCGCGTGTGCATCTCATCTGGCTGGATCATAAGACAATACACTCTTGTCAGGGCTATTTAGGGCAGGTAGTGGAACGGCATCTGTGGGGCTACTATAGTAGCCGTTCTGCCCTTTGACAGGCATCGGTAGGCAGCCGGATCTCAGGCAACATGGGGCAGAGCAAGCTTTTGGTGGTGTTTAAGGCCCACCATGCTACATGGATGGGATACTGATTTGGGGTATTGTTTCTTATAGTGCTGGGAAGTGATTACCATACAAGCATCATTTATTTCCATCACAACTAGTAGGGTTTGGATAGATCGCAACTACTGATATATTGAGGTCCTCAAACTAACATTGGTGGCAACATACCTATATGCTTCAAGGTATTTTATTCATTGTTGTGATTGTAACGGAACCGGACCCCGACTGCGCTAGGGTATTTCCGTTAGACTCTCGCTTCCCTGTCCGAACACCAACCACGGACCCCACCGCTGACCATACAGGAAATAGACAGCACCAGACTCTTCTTAAGACAGGAAGTCAACTGCTTTATTTTAACACAAACACAAGATATATACACGGCGGGAAATACAACCAGGAACAGGAAACACATCAGCAGGCCATCCCATCAGGAGGGAAGGGCTGCTGGAAACACCCCCCCACCAAACCAAGACACACAATAGAACAATGGGATACACCACATGGCAGTAGACAATAGGGGAACACATGCATGCAATAATAGTTTGCTGGAAAGCAAGATACAATAGAACAATGGGGCAACCACATGGCAGTGAACAACCCCCACACCCAACCTATACATGTCTACACAGTATCAGGACAGAGCACCCTGTACCACTGACAGGCACAGGGTGGGTTACACATAAGAGGGATTTGGGGAGATGACACAGGGGCCCCCACCCCCAAAAGTCACTCCCTTCACAGTGATATATATATATATATATAACTATATATATATTTTTTTATTATTGGCATATGGGGTTTATATAGAGTGCGATCTAGATCTCACCCGTTTTCCTTTTTTTCTAGCAAACCATTAAGTCCATCATACTCTCCATGGTATGTTGGGGATCAACTGATACCACCTAATTATATTGGCTTAGCACACAGAGTAAGTTCATCATTGTATACGATTTCCGTTTATAATCCAGTTCAATGTGATTGGTACATTCAGCAAGTGCACCGCTGCATATTGCTGTTATGCCCTTTGCATTTCGGCAACAACTGTACTGATGGCCAGTTTTATCAGAATTTAAAGCGGTCTTGTTTTTATTACATTGCAACGTTATCATATGGTGCTGGCCCTGGCCCCTTGATGTGCCTCCATGTGTGGACACCCATCCTGTTCTATCTTATTTTCTCCAATGACGAACTACAATTGTGATTTTATTGCAATTGTAACTGAATATCCATTTATACTTCTCATGGTCTGAGAGTCCCTCAGGTGCCTTTTGGCAAACTCCAGGTGGCCTGCCATTTGCCTTTTACTGAGGAGTGGCTTCCGTCTGGCCCCTCTATCATACAGTCCTGATTGGTGAAGTGCTGCAGAGATGGATGTTCTCTCTCCACAGAGTAACGCTGGAGCTCTTTCAGAGTGACCATCCGGTGCTTGGTTACCTCCCTGGCTAAGCCCCTTCTCCCTTGAACGTCCATTTTGGCCGGACGGCCTGCTCTAGGAAGATTCCTGGTGGCTCCAAACTTCTTCCATTTATGGATGATGGAGGCCACTGTGCTCATTGGGACCTTCAATGCTGCAGAAATGTTTCTGTACCCTTCCCCAGATCTGTGCCTTGATACAATCCTGTCTCGGAGGTCTACAGACAATTCCTTGGACTCCATGGCTTGGTTTGTGCTCTGACATGCACTGTTACCTGTGGGACCTTCTATAGACAGGTGTATGCCTTTCCTAATCATGTCCAATCAAATTAATTTCCCACAAGTGGACTCCAATCAACTGAATGTCCCTCAGGTGGACTCCAATCAGGTTGTGGAAACATCTCAAGGATGATCAGTGGGAATAGGATGCACCAGAGCTCAATTTTGAGTGTCATAGCAAAGGCTGGGAATACTTATGTACATGGAGTTTTTTTAATAAATTGCAAATATTTCAAAACGAACTTCTTTCACGTTGTCATTATGGAGTATTTGTAGAATGTTGAGGGAAAAAAATGAATTTAATCCATTTTGGAATAAGGCTGTAACATAACAAAATGTGGCAAAAGTTAAGTGCTGGGAATACTTTCTGAGTGCACTGTATGTTGGTATCACTTTTAGTGTTAATTGTTAAAATATATGTATATATATTATATATTAAAAACAACCATTTCTTTTTTTTAAAAGGTGGGATCAAAAAGTTAGTTTTTTAACACTCCACCAGATGGCAGCACAAGGTTGCACGCACAGTCAAAGGGAGCACCAACCTTCATAAGTCAGTGTGCCAAAAGACATCGTCCTGTGTACATTGGGAGCTATGCAACTGGTGCTATTCTGACTACATGCATTACCACGTCTGCTATTTCATCATGAACAAGTTAGAACAAAAGGTCAAATGCGAAATTATGAGTGAAACTGGTCAAATCTGCCACAGAGACGTTTGATGTGATTTGGCAAGTTTACGGCGATGCTGCAATGAGTCCTTTGAGGTGTTTGGAGTGCCAAGTGCACTTCAAGAGCTTAAGAACATCACTGAAAGAGAGATCAGGAAGTCGTTCAACAAGCTCAACCCCCGAAAATGTTGAAACCATTCGGCAACTTGTGCAAGATGATCTTCGGAGGAGAATCCACAACATTGCTAACATTGTCACTGTGTCATATGGAACAGTCCAAGCAATCCTCACTTGAGATTTGAACATGTGCCGTGTTGCTGCCAAGTTCGTCCCCAGGCTGCAACGATCTCACTTCCGCACCCACCCTACTTGCCAGAAATGGCTCCTGCGGACTTCGCCATCTTCCCAACAATGAAGATCCAGCTCAAAGGTCACCATTTTGACATTGAGGAGATCCAGCGCAAACAGCTGAAGGTGCTTGACATGCTTTGAAAAGAAGACTTCCGGGACACTTTCCACAAGTGGCAGGAACACAGGCAGCACTGTATTGTTGTACAAGGGGACTATTTCCAAGGGGATAATGTGTATATGTGGGGCAGCACAGTGGCTAAATGTTCAGCACTTCCACCTGGCAGTACTAGGGTTGTTGGTTCGAATCCCAACCACGGCACCACCTGCCTGGAGTTTGCATGTTCTCCCTGTGTGGGTTTACTCTGGTTTACACCCACCCCAAAGACATGCTGGTAGGTTAACTGGCTCATGACTAAATTGGCTCTTCTATGTGTACGTATGAATGTGAGTTAGGGACCTTAGATTGTACTTAGATTGTACGCCCCTTGAGGGTTAGGGACCTTAGATTGTACGCCCCTTGAGGGTTAGGGACCTTAGGATTGTACTCCCCTTGAGGGTTAGGGACCTTAGATTGTACACCCCTTGAGGGTTAGGGACCTTAGATTGTACACTCCTAGAGGGTTAGGGACCTTAGATTGTACACCCCTTGAGGGTTAGGGACCTTAGATTGTACGCCCCTTGAGGGTTAGGGACCTTAGATTGTACGCCCCTTGAGGGTTAGGACCTTAGATTGGCCCCTTGAGGGATAGGGACCTTATTGTATGCCCCTTGAGGGTTAGGGACCTTAGATTGTACCCCCCTTGAGGGTTAGGGACCTTAGATTGTACGCCCCTTGAGGGTTAGGGACCTTAGATTGTACGCCCCTTGAGGGTTAGGGACCTTAGATTGTACGCCCCTTGAGGGTTAGGGACCTTAGATTGTATGCCCCTTGAGGGTTAGAGACCTTAGATTGTATGCCCCTGAGGGTTAGGGACTGATGTGAATGTACAATATATATGTAAAGCGCTGCGTAAATTGATGGCGCTATATAAGTACCTGGAATAATAAAACGTAGATAAAAGACTTCCTTGAAAACAGAGCTAGTCTCCAAACTTTTTGATACCACCTCATATATGCAACAAGGGTACGCAAGACCTACACACGATGCAAAGCCGGCCACACACAATTAGTTTTCTTTTCATTCAGCCACTAGGCTGTACACATTGTAATTGAGTCACAATTCCTGTAAAAATAAAAACCATCAGTTTATCTATGGGCAGCACAGTGGCTAAATGGTTAGCACTTCCGCCTGGCAGTACTCGGGTCGTTGGTTCAAATCCCAACCATGGCACCACCTGCCTGGAGTTTGCATGTTCTTCCTGTGCCTGCGTGGGTTTCCTACGGGTACCCAGGTTTCCTCCCACACTCCAAAGACATGCTGGTAGGTTAATTGGATCCTGTCTAAAAATTGGCCCTAGTATGTGTATGTATGAATGTGAGTTCGGGACCTTAGATTGTATGCCCCTTGAGGGTTAGGGACCTTAGATTGTACTCCCCTTGAGGGTTAGGAACCTTAGATTGTACGCCCCTTGAGGGTTAGGGACCTTAGATTGTACTCCCCTTGAGGGTTAGGGACCTTAGATTGTACGCCCCTTGAGGGTTAGGGACCTTAGATTGTACGCCCCTTGAGGGTTAGGGACCTTAGATTGTTCACCCCTTGAGGGTTAGGGACCTTAGATTGTCGCCCCTTGAGGGTTAGGGACCTTAGATTGTACGCCCCTTGAGGGTTAGGGACCTTAGATTGTACCCCTTGAGGGTTAGGGACCTTAGATTGTACGCCCCTTGAGGTTTAGGGACCTTAGATTGTACGCTCCTTGAAGGTTAGGGACCTTAGATTGTACGCCCCTTGAGGGTTAGGGACCTTAGATTGTACGCCCCTTGAGGGTTAGGGACCTTAGATTGTATGCCCCTTGAGGGTTAGAGACCTTAGATGTATGCCCCTTGAGGGTTAGGGACTGATGTGAATGTACAATATATATGTAAAGCGCTGCGTAAATTGATGGCGCTATATAAGTACCTGGAATAATAAAACGTAGATAAAAGACTTCCTTGAAAACAGAGCTAGTCTCCAAACTTTTTGATACCACCTCATATATGCAACAAGGTACGCAAGACCTACACACGATGCAAAGCCGGCCCACACACAATTATTTTTCTTTTCGTTCAGCCACTAGGCTGTACACATTGTAATTTGAGTCACAATTCCTGTAAAAATAAAAAACCATCAGTTTTATCTATGGGCAGCACAGTGGCTAAATGGTTAGCACTTCCGCCTGGCAGTACTCGGGTCGTTGGTTCAAATCCCAACCATGGCACCACCTGCCTGGAGTTTGCATGTTCTTCCTGTGCCTGCGTGGGTTTCCTACGGGTACCCCGGTTTTCCTCCCACACTCCAAAGACATGCTGGTAGGTTAATTGGATCCTGTCTAAAAATTGGCCCTAGTATGTGTATGTATGAATGTGAGTTCGGGACCTTAGATTGTACGCCCCTTGAGGGTTAGGGACCTTAGATTGTACGCCCCTTGAGGGTTAGGGACCTTAGATTGTACTCCCCTTGAGGGTTAGGGACCTTAGATTGTACGCCCCTTGAGGGTTAGGGACTTTAGATTGTACTCCCCTTGAGGGTTAGGGACCTTAGATTGTACTCGCCCCTTGAGGGTTAGGGACCTTAGATTGTACACCCCTTGAGGGTTAGGGACCTTAGATTGTACCCCCTTGAGGTTTAGGGACCTTAGATTGTACGCTCCTTGAAGGTTAGGGACCTTAGATTGTAACGCCCCTTGAGGGTTAGGGACCTTAGATTGTACGCCCCTTGAGGGTTAGGGACTGATGTGAATGTACAATATATATATATAAAGTGCTGTGTAATTGATGGCGCTATATAAGTACCTGAAATAAATAAAATCTGCACTGTAAAGAAGGGGCAATTTTGTTTTGCCATGGACTAGGTGATGGCTGCTGTAGTTGCAGCCCTCATATACCCACTGAATGAACTCCGTAAGTTCACAAAACGGACTAGTTATAAAAAAAAACCCAATGGCGAGCCACCCCTTTTACCCCCTTCTTTACGGACAGGCAACCTTCTTCATATTCTCGTTAGCCTCGGCTGATCCAGTCAGAATAGGAAAGGATGAGCAGAAAAAGTTCTGGATGCCTTCCATACTGGTTGATCAACACCAGGTATTTATGAATAAAAAAAAAAAAAAGAAAACCAGAGACCAATAATACTGTGTGTCATCCAACCTGGAAGACTAAGGACATCGTGTTGCCCAAAACAAAAAAAGTACTACTTCCTAACCAGAAATAAAAGAAAAAAAAATCGCGAATCATTTAAACCATCCACCTAAAACACCATCAATTGTTTTCCAGTTCCAAGAAACCAAACAAATGATTTTTAGGGTGAACATGAACTGAAAATAGCGTTTAGCTATAACTGTGGCGATTTTCATTCATTTCCACTGCAGTTCTGACCGTTTGCTTGCTTGAAGACGTGAAATGATTGAATCAGCGGGATGCAGAATGTTTTTGTGCTGTACATTTCCAAGTGATTGTTTCCTTTTCAGACAGCTGATGGAAAGCTTGTGAGACCAGCATTAGCTCTTCCATACAGTACATGGACCTTAAAGGAAGAACACAGCATACTTCCCTCCAGTTTCCAATATGCAGCCATGAGCACGCAGCATGGGATTCACTTACTCTGGATTGTACAGTGCCTGGCTTCATTGGGGGCTGCCTGACCTTTTGTTTTCATTGGCCTCCCTGCCTACATGCACTGCATTTATTTCAGCATCCAGCCTGTCTACAGGTCTTATTGTCAAAGAGACACAGGGATTAATGTAGAATTCCAGCCTAAACTTAACTAGTCTTCAAAAAGTATACACCAGCCTTTCTCAACCAGGGTGCCAGGCCTCAGGGGTGCCTTGAGGCCTCTTCAGGGGTGCCTTGAGGCAAAATGTCTTAAAAACTAAAAACTGCCCAAAACTTGTATAAAAGCCAGCAGGTGGAATAAGCCGGCCTTTTCGTTACACAAAGCCTCAAGTTTTCATTGTGACCTTCTAGCCACCGGCATCCTGACAACCAATGACATCATCAGTTGATAAGGAGGATGTCAGTTGCTTGCACAGCATGCTAGTTTGACCCTCCCCCGCCCCTCTCCATCAGTGCTGGGGTCACATTAGCACAGTGATGGAGAAAAACTGAGGGAGAGGAGAAACACTGGTATAGTAGTCAGTACAAGTGTGCAAAAGTGTATTTGTTTTGGAAGAATAAACCATCTCTAGTGTTTGATGTTCTACATGTGTGGATGTTGCTGCGTTATAGAAAACTATTAGAAAAGTTTTTCACATTTTAAAATGAGTGCCCCTTTAAAATTATGGACAGTCTTGAGGCACCCCATTTTAGAAAGGGGTGCCTCAAGACTGTCAATAATTTTAAAGGGTGCCTCGGGACTGTCCATAATTTTAAAGGGTGCCTTGACTGAAAAAAGGTTGAGAAACACTGGTATACACTACCCCCGTTTTCAGCCTGCTCTGGTCACGTGATCCCCTGCGTGATCCCCTGCATCACTCAGCAGGGGGGCTGCAGAGCAGAAGAATGGAAAGAGAGCTTGGCAACAGCTGGGAATTCCGAGAGTGGTGGCATCACCCACAGCCCCCCCCCCCCCATGTCCCAGCAGTTAGCAGTAGCTGCAGGGAAGAGGAAGGAGCGATAACAGCTGCTAGGACATGGGAGCCAATGGGTGATATCACCGCTGTCAAGTGCTCTCCTCTCTCCCCTGCAGCTGCTGCTGGCCAACACAGGGGAGCCGAATCATGCGAGTGGAAAGGAGCAGGTTGAAAATATCCCTCTTTCTTACACAGGTTAGCCAACGTCGGTGTTAGGAGGGGGGGTGGGAGCATTTTTAATTGTTAGGAGGGGGGAGGGAGCATTTTTAGGTGTTAGGAGGGGGTGAGAACATTTTCAGGTGTTAGGAGGGAGTAGGAAGCATTTTAGGTTTTAGGAGGGGGGTGGGAGCATTTTTAGGCGTTAGGAGGGGGGAGGGAGCATTTTCAGGCGTTAGGAGGGGGGAGGGAGCATTTTCAGGCGTTAGGAGGGGGGAGGGAGCATTTTCAGGCGTTAGGAGGGGGTGGGAGCATTTTTAGGTGTTAGGAGGGGTGGGAACATTTTCAGGTGTTAGGAGGGGTAGGGAGCATTTTCAGGCGTTAGGAGGGGGGAGGGAGCATTTTCAGGCGTTAGTCGGATTGGGGGAGGGAGCATTTTCAGGGTTAGGAGGGGGGAGGGAGCATTTTTCAGGCGTTAGGAGGGGGGTGGGAACATTTTCAGGCGTTAGGGGGGGAGGGAGCATTTTCAGGCGTTAGGAGGGGGTGGGAGCATTTTTAGGTGTTAGGAGGGGGTGGGAACATTTTCAGGTGTTAGGAGGGGGGAACATTTTCAGGCGTTAGGAGGGGGGTGGGAAACATTTTCAGGCGTTAGGAGGGGGTGGGAGCATTTTCAGGCGTTAGGAGGGGGGTGGGAGCATTTTCAGGTGTTAGGAGGGGGGTGTGGGAACATTTTCAGGTGTTAGGAGGGGGGTGGGAGCATTTTCAGGTGTTAGGAGGGGGGTGGGAGCATTTTCAGGTGTTAGGAGGGGGTGGGAGCATTTCCAGATGTTAGGAGGGGGGTGGGAGCATTTTCAGGTGTTAGGAGGGGGTGGGAACATTTTCAGGTGTTAGGAGGGGGGGGAACATTTTCAGGTGGAGGGGGGTGGGAACATTTTCAGGTGTTTAGGAGGGGGGTGGGAAAATATTTTCAGGTGTTAGGAGGCCCCGGGCCTGTTAGGGGGGGTGGGGAGCATTTTCAGGTGTTAGGAGGGGGGGTGGGAGCATTTTTAGGTGTTAGGAGGGGGTGGGAACATTTTCAGGCGTTAGGAGGGGGGTGGGAGCATTTTTAGGTTAGAGGAGGGGTGGGAACATTTTTAGGTGTTAGGAGGGGGGAGGGAGCATTTTTTAGGTGTTTAATTTACTACAGAAATAGAGAGCATAGTGGACAGTCTCTACTCTTTTAGAAAATCAACTCCACAGACTACTACGCATTCCATCTATGCAGCAGTACAAAGCAAATAAAAATAGAAAAATTGCCAAGCGGCAGGTTCCTTTGAAGCAGAAGAACCATGCTGTCTCACCTTCTGCATTATTGCTTGTTACCTGCCTGTCAGCAATGTACAATCTCGGCATATGCTGAGATGAATGCACTCCTGCGCATGCACAGGAGTGCCATCACCTCTAGCCAATGAAAATGGCCAAAGTTCAGAGTGGCTGTAGATACCACTGGCTGGTAATGGAGCTCCAGCATACCACAGCACTGGAATGGAGGAGAGTATAGCTCGGCTTTAAATTCTACAGCATATGGGAAGGATGCAAACTTCAGCAATATGAAGCACTATACATACACTCTACAGCTCAAAGAGGACAGCATTCTACCCACTGCATGGGTGCCACTGGGATCACCAACAACTCTCAGCAGCTCTGCTAGGTGGCTGTGCTATGTGTTCAATACACAGAGTCAATTCTTGAAATCAAACTCCAAATACCTTGTTGTACATTTTGGATAGAAGAGCAAAGAGTTAAAAATTCCTGGGTATATCTGGCAATACAGGCTGCCCAAAGCAGCTAACAGACTCTGGGTGTCAATATCTGCCAGGTTTAACCACTTCAATACCAGGAACTTCTACCCACCGGGCGCTTCTACCCCCTTCCTGCCCACCGGGCGCTTCTACCCCCCCTTCCTGCCCACCGGGCGCTTCCACCCCCTTCCTGCCCACCGTGCGCTTCCACTTCCTTCCCACAGCGTGCTTCCACCCCCTCCCTGCCCACCAGGGACTTATGCACCCTTCCTGCCCACTGGGGACTCTTACCCCCTTCCTGCCCACAGCGCGCTTATACCCCCTTCCTGCCCACCGGGCGCTTCTGCCCCCTTCCTGCCCACGGGGCACTTCTACCCCCTTCCTGCCCACGGGGCACTTCTACCCCCCTTCCTGCCCACGGGGCACTTCTACCCCCTTCCTGCCCACGGGGCACTTCTACCCCCTTCCTGCCCACGGGGCACTTCTGCCCCCTTCCTGCCCAGGCCAATTTTCAGCTTTCAGCGCTGTCGCATTGTGAATGACATATTGCGCGGTCATACAACACTGTACTCATATGACATTTTTTATCATTTTTTTCACACAACTAGAGCTTTCTTTTGGTGGTATTTAATCAACACTGAGTTGTTTATTTTTTGCTAAACAAAAAACACCTGAAACTTTGGATGAAAAAAAAAAAAAAACCAAAAAAAAACTCGTTTCTGTTATACAATTGTGCAAATAAATAACATTTCTTCATAAATTTAGGTCAAAATGTATTCTGCTACATTTCTTTGGTGAAAATAATAATAAACTGAATTCGTATTTTTTTTTTTTCAAATGTTCCTACAAATTTTTTATTACATTTTTTCACCTTTGTTTTTAAAAGCCCCCCCCCCCCCCCTCCGACATTCCTAATATCACCTCCGATTTACATACAGATTTGATTAAAAAAAATATATATTTTTTTTTTTTATCTGGACAAGTAGATTGTCATGAGGGACAAGTGGATTGGGGCCCCGAATTAGTCCCTGGACAAGTAGTTTTTAAAAAAATATCCATAGCCCTGGTTTATTTTTGCAGCTTACCAATCATTAGATGTGGTGGCTGCGTTAGTTTTCCTTCCCCCCCATTATCACCTGGTAATCCAGCCAGTAACACACTAGGTTTCCCCATCACTGGAGGACTACAAGTCCCATCATCTCCTATACACAGACTCCCCATCACCGGGAGGACCACAAGTCCCATCATCTCTACACAGACTCCCCATCATCTCCTCTACACAGACTCCCCATCATCTCCTCTACACAGCCGCCCCATCATCGGGAGGACTACATCTCCTATACACAGACTCCCCATCACCGGGAGGACCACAAGTCCCATCATCTCCTCTACACAGACTCCCCATCACCGGGAGGACCACAAGTCCCATCATCTCCTCTACACAGACTCCCCATCACCGGGAGGACCACAAGTCCCATCATCTCTACACAGACTCCCCATCACCGGGAGGACCACAAGTCCCATCATCTCCTCTACACAGACTCCCCATCACCGGGAGGACCACAAGTCCCATCATCTCTCTACACAGACTCCCCATCACCGGGAGGACCACAAGTCCCATCATCTCTACACAGACTCCCCATCATCTCCTCTAACACAGACACAGACTACCCCATCATCTCCTCTACACAGCCGCCCCATCATCCATCGGGAGGACTACATCTCCTATACACAGACTCCCCATCACCGGGAGGACCACAAGTCCCATCATCTCTACACACAGACTCCCCATCACCGGGAGGACTACAAGTCCCATCATCTCCTCTACACAGACTCCCCATCACCGGGAGGACTACAAGTCCCATCATCTCCTCTACAGACTCCCCATCACCGGGAGGACTACAAGTCCCATCATCTCTATACAGACTCCCCATCACCGGGAGGACTACAAGTCCCATCATCTCTATACAGACTCCCCATCACCGGGAGGACTACAAGTCCCATCATCTCTATACACAAACTCCCCATCACCGGGAGGACCACAAGTCCCATCATCCCCTCTACACAGACTCCCCATCACCGGGAGGACTACAAGTCCCATCATCTCCTCTACAGACTCCCCATCACCGGGAGGACCACAAGTCCCATCATCTCTATACAGACTCCCCATCACCGGGAGGACTACAAGTCCCATCATCTCTATACACAGACTCCCCATCACCGAGAGGACTACAAGTCCCATCATCTCTATACAGACTCCCCATCACCGGGAGGACTACAAGTCCCATCATCTCCTATACACAGACTCCCCATCACCGGGAGGACCACAAGTCCCATCATCTCTATACACAGACTCCCCATCACCGGGAGGACTACAAGTCCCATCATCTCTATACAGACTCCCCATCACCGGGAGGACTACAAGTCCCATCATCTCTATACAGACTCCCCATCACCGGGAGGACTACAAGTCCCATCATCTCTACACAGACTCCCCATCACCGGGAGGACTACAGTCCCATCATCTCCTATACACAGACTCCCCATCACCGGGAGGACCACAAGTCCCATCATCTAGCCTCCCCTCTACACAGACTCCCCATCACCGGGAGGACCACAAGTCCCATCATCTCCTCTGTGAGGTAACACTCTCAGTGACTCTGGCGCCCCCTTAGGCCACGCTGGAAGCTGTACCCCACCCCCTCTTTCCCGCGCTCGGGCCCGGTTCCCTCACGGCGAGCCCACATCTCAGGGGGCCCTCTCCTCCGCCGGTCACCATGGAACCTCCGACTCCCTGACTGT